TTAAAAAGTGAGATCCTGCAGTGTTGTTTTTTAAATTTATTTTTTAGTTGGGTTGAACACAATACCTTTATTTTATATTTATTTATTTATTTATATGTGGTGCTGAGGATCGAACCCAGGGCCTCATACATGCTAGGCTAGTGCTCTACCGCTGAGCCCAGCTGCAGCCCCAGGGTTTGTGTTTTCCTTAGAGGCTTATTGCAGCATGATGTCCTCAAGGTTCATCCATGTTATGTAAGCTCTGGCAGGAGTTTCCTTTTTCATCCTTTTTTTTCCTGGTCACCGTAATACTGGCTAGAGCTGTGAGTATTATGGCGACTGGAAGTGGCAAGAGTGGGCCTCCTTGCCTCTTTCCACATCTCAGGGGGAAGGCCTCCAGTCTTTCACCAGGTGTGATGCTCACTGTGGCTTTTCATATAGGCCTTTGATTATGTTGGGCTAATTTCCTTCCATTTTCAGTTCGTTGCTTATTTTGTTCCACTGACCAGACATTTAGACTAGTTAAACAGCTGCTCCCCTGCTTCTAAATGATTTCTGATATCTCCAAGCCATCGGGGTGTAGAAACCCCCTGGGGGACTAGAGCCACCCACCCTGAGGGAGCTGGGGTGGTGGGGTGGGCCAGGGCAGGAGCCTTGATGCTTCCCCACAAGAGGCAGTGGAGGTGGTGAGGAGAGTCTCCAGCCCCAGGTCTCTGTCCTCTTCCATCCCTAGCCCCGCCCACCGCCCCGCCCACCAGCCGCCCTTAGCTCCTCCCATCACCCGCACGCCCCGCCCTCCAGCCCCCCAAGACCCTGCGCCACCTCAGCGGATCTGGGTGGAGAATCCCACTTCACTTAATTTCAGCGCCCTGGGAGGAGGATGAGATCCGCAGGGACCGGGTGGAGCCCCAGAGTGTGTCCCTGTCGTGGCGGGAGCCCATTCCCGCTGGAGCCCCCGGGGCCAACAGCACGGAGTATGAGATCCGCTACTACGAGAAGGTGAGTCTGGGAGGGACCCGCAGCCTTCGCCCCTTGCCTGCCCGGCTTTCGGTTCTTCACGCCCCCTCCCAGCTAAACCCTTCCTGTTTTCTTTTTGCACCATTTCCCCGTCTCCAGGCTGGAATTTCTTCTTCCTGACCCCTCCACTCCTGGGCTCCATGCTCTGCCTCTCTCCCCTCAAGTTGGCCTTCCTCCTCATTAGCATCTCCATTTTTACCTCTTTAGACAAAGAGCTTTCCCTGGGGGCTGGTACAGATGTTGTGTGGTCCAATCCTACCATTTGCAGACTGCTTTTAAGGGAAAAGAACACAGAAATACCGTGTTTTTTAGTTTCTCCGCCTCCTCCTCCCTTTCTCCTCTCCTCTCTCCCTCTCCCTCTTCCTCTTGTACTGTGTGTGTGTGTGTGTGTGTGTGTGTGTGTGTGTGTGTGTGTGTGTATGTACTGGGAATTGAACTCAGGGTAGCTTCACCACTAAGCTACATTCCCAGCCCTTTATACTTTGAGACAGGATCTTAAACAATTGCTTGGAACCTGTGATTCTCCTGCCTCAACTTTCCGGAGGGGCATGTGCCAACCAGCCTGGCTTTGTTTCAAATTTCACAAAAAAACGTCTTGACCATTGATGCATGCCTGTAATCCCAGTGAATCTGGAGGCTGAGGCAGGAGGATTGCTAGTTAGAGGCCAGCCTCAGCAATTTAACAAGACCATCTGCAACCTAGTGAGACACTGTCTCAAAATAAAAAAAATTAAAAGGGCTAGGACACTCAGTGGTAAAGTGCCCCTGAGTTCAGTCCCTAGTACCAAAATATGAAAATTAAAAGATGTCTGACCATACGAGTACATTGCTAGATTGGGTGGAATGCTGGTAAATGTTTAATAACCAGGTCTACAAAATAACGAGTGCAGGAATTATGATTTTATTGATGTAAAGGATGTGTATCTATCACATCATTTATAATACTATTAAAGTAACATCTTTAGTACTCATTATAAATGCCATATAATCAATTGATTATCTCTTTTTTGAAGTACTGGGGATTGAACCTAGGGGTACTGTATTACTGAGTTATATCCCCAGCTCTTTTTATTTTTTATATTGAGACAGGGTCTCCCTAAATTTCCCAGTGTGGCCTCAAACTTGTGTCCTCCTATCTCAGCCTCCTGTGTAGCTGGGGTTATAGGTGAGAACCACTATGCCCAGCTAGCTAGGTGATTCTCATGGGATGGTTTTGTAAACCTCTTGGATTATTATTATTATCATCATGATTATTATTTTGTGATGAGGTCTTGCTGTGTTTCCCAGGCTGGTCTCCATTTCCTGGACTCAAGCAGTCCTCCTGCTTCAGCCTCCCAAGTAGCTGGGACTACAGTCATAGGCCATCATGCTCAGTGGTTTTTTTAGTCTATGGGTGCAGTTCAGCTATGATTTGACAAATGAAGTTATATCCCAACCCACTATCTCTTTTCCCTGTAAAATTTATTGTCTTCTAAATCTGAGGTGTAATCTACCGTTAAACTGCTTCTCACCTTGGTGCAAATTAAACTCATTAAAGCGAAACATCTTTCAGAGTCAGCACTACACATGTCAGAACTTTGCTCACTTCTCAGTGACATGTGGGAATTCTTTGCTGAATCAGATAATAGTTTTTGAATACTAGAAGGCAGTTGAGAGCTGGGAGTGTCAGGGACCAGAAGAAAGAGGGAGTCCCAAGTCACTGCTGAGTGTCTGACCTGGGTGACTCAGGGAATAGGGTACCACTGGCTGAGATGGAGAACCACAGAGCAAGAGGAGCAGAGTGGGGCAAGGGGGTGCACTTGGTTTTGCTCATGTGGCATCCAGGGAGCCTGTTGGCCAGGTGTGGTGCTGCATACCTACAATTCCAGCTACTTGGGAGGCTGAGGAAGGAGGATTACAAGTTTGACGCTAGTCTGATCAACTTAGTGAGAACCTGTCTCAAAAAAAAAAAAAAAAAAAGAAAGAAAAAAAAGAAAAAGAAAGAAAGAAAGAAAAGAAAAAAGAAAAGTGCTTGGGATGTAGCTCAGTGGTAGAGCAAGCATCTCTAAGTTCAATCTCCATTACCACACACACAAAAAAGTTGGGGGGGTGTGGATAGGGTAAGGTGCCGGAGGACATCCAGGTGGATCCATAGGTCTGAGGTTCAAGGTAGAGCCCTGGGCTGGAGAGAGAGAGAGAAGGTTGGGACCTTTCAGCACAGTGATGGTAGCTAACACCAGGAGGGGAGTGTGTAAGAGTAGCCAGGACCGAGCCCAGAGGAACCCTGGAGACAGGAGGCAAGGCCTGGGAAGCAGCTGTGTATGCAGCACGTGCTTAGAAAGGACTCACTAAAAAGCCAGCCTCAGCAACTCATCGAGACCCTGTCTCTAAATAACACATCAAAAAGGGCTGGGGATGTGGCTCAGTGGTTAAGCACCCTGGAAACTCCTCCCTCCACCCCCAAAAAGGACTCGCTGAACTGACATTTGGGGATCAGGTTGTAGACAATGCTCCCAGGTCCTTAATCAGGGAGTGTGAATATGCTGGTAACCAAACCCTCAAAAAGAAGAGCAAACACACCAGGGGCTGTGTGGGAGCTCCGCTGGGATGCCAGGGACCCTGGAGCCTCCGTGTTCCTCACCTGGCTTCTCTCTGCAAACCAGCCCAACCTCCTCTGCAGAGGGGCTTCTTTCTAGCACAGCCAGCAGCTGAGGTTGGGGTCCTTGCACCCTCCTGCCCCCGAGCTTACTGCATCTCTTGGGTCCTGCAACCACTGCCTCTGTCTTCCCAGGAATTTTTTTTTTTTTTGTACTGGGGATTGAACCTAAGGGCACTTAAGCACCACTGAGCCACATCCCCAGCCCCAGGATCTCATTAGGTTGCTAATGCCTCACTAAGTTGCTGAGGCTGGCCTTGAACCTGTGATCCTTCTGCCTCTGGAGCCACTGGAATTACTGTGGGCTTGAGCCACCAAGCCAGGCTCTTCCCAGGGATTGTCCAAATGCCAGAAAGGAGATTCTCATTGGCCCAAAGTCAGTCCCAGTTTCTGAATGTCATGGTGAAAGGATATCGGCAGGGGGTGTGCCTTTTCCCGGGGCTGTGGATCCTGCAGGAGGTCTCATAAGGTATGGGTACAGGTGACAGGAGGGCAGGAGCACCTTTAGGATGTGTCATTATCAGATGCATTGGGGGAAGGATGATATAGAGCAAAGAGCAGGCGTCACCCTGACCCTTCCTGATTCCAACCTTTGAAAAGGACAGCAGGGCTGACTCCGGCTGCTGTGAATTGTCTGGGGTGGGGCTGGCGGGATCCCCCCCCCTCCCCACACAGGCTGGTGGTGAGTAGGTCCTCATCAGTAATTGACACCGCTGTTCCCTGTCCCCAGTAGGGGCTGGGCCCAGTTTCCTTATCTGTGAAACAAAACAAACAAGATACTACTCCTGTCCTCTGTGCCTGGAAGGACCTGTGTGAAAATCAGATGATGGGGGGTCGGGGAGGGAAAGCCTCCTGAGCATGAGGTCTGGGCAGGTGTTGGCATCTTTCTTTTTGGTACCAGGGATTGAACCACTGAGCCACATCCCCAGCCCTTTTCACTTTTTTTTTTGAGACAGGTCTCTTAAGTTGCTGAGGCCGACCTCCTGCGTGCAATTCTCCTGCCTCATCTCCTGGGTCCTGGGGTTTGCTTTCTTATTCTTTCCCCTGTGATGTCAGGACTGTCGGGACTCTGGCCCCGCGTGTCCCTGGACCACCATGCCCTGATGGCCTGGCATCTTCTCTCAAGGTTCTCTTAGGCAAAAGTGGGGCTATTCTCAGCTACCAGCACCCCCAGTGGAACTTGTGGTGGACGGGGGTGCTGGGAATCCCTGGGGGGAACCTCTGCGGGCCCCGGACTCCAGGGTCAGGTTCTGTCACCGCACACATGCTCACCTGAGACTGCTGCTCTCATCTCCCGCTTCCTCTCATCCTTCTCCCCACAGTGTGGGTCTGGTCTCGGGTCTGGGCCTCACTTCTCGGTTCTCTCCAGGGTCAGAGTGAACAGACTTACTCCACAGTGAAGACAGGGACGCCTGCGGTCACTGTCACCAACCTGAAGCCGGCTACCCGCTACGTCTTCCAGATCCGGGCAGCTTCCCCGGGGCCCTCCTGGGAGGCCCAGAGCTTCAACCCGAGTATTGAGGTGCAAACCCCAGGGGAGGGTAAGTGGTGTGTGCTCATGGACTAGGTGTGGGCAGAGAGAGCCTGGCACTGGACAGGGACAGGGACAGGGAGACAGAGGGCGGGAATGAAGCTGCCATCAAGGGAGCCTGCAGAGCAGTGGAATCAGTCTAATTAATGAAGGAGCTCGGGGTCCACTGACATGGATTTGATTGGGTACATGTCCTGGAGGGGCTTAAAGGACAAGGGTCTGGACAGCCGTGATGCTTGCCTCAGCCAGTGTCCCCTCCTCTGCAGACCTGTCATGGTGCAGAAACGCCCTGCGTCCTCTCCCAGATCTGGCCACTTTCTTGGAGGGGGGCGTTGATAAGTCTCATGGTCTCCTTATGACCACCAGATTCTTCTTCCTATTCTCCTGCTTCCCTCCTGTGACAATGGCCTGCCATGGGCACTGTCCCTTTCCCCACCAGGCCTTAGGATGTGAAGGAGATGTCACTGAAGGTTGGGGGCCAGAGGGGTCAGATTGCGGCAATAAAACAAAATGGACACTGGACCCTTAAGCGAGCGAGTGGAATGGGCTAGTTGTGAGCTGTTCCTCAATAAAGGTCCAACGGAAACGAGGAGCGGAGGCCGGCAGACATCCTGATCTCAAATATCTGCTTCCCTGTGGCATCACGCTAGCCTTTCCACCCTCTGCGTCCGTCCCTCCCTCTCCCTCTTCTCCCCCCACCCTAAATCCCTTTTCATGGCACGCAGGGCAGTTTGGCTGCTGACCCAGCCCCCAGGGTCTCACCTCTATCTACCCTGAGCAGCTCAAGAAAGTATTTTCCAGAACAAAGGCAGTTCCCCCTAAGAGGCATTCTGGCACCAGCTGTCAAGATAATAATTCTCTCCAACCTGCTACATAACTCTAATCCAAGATAGGAAGAGCTCTGAGCCCAAAGGGAGGCGAAGATAAGTGTTGAGGGAGCCGGAGTCCCAGGGAGAGGACGGCACTTCTTGCTCGAATGGCTGTCTGCGCCAGACCTTGGCCAGGTGCTGCGCAGAGGAGATTAGAGCCACGTCTTGAAGGCTGTGGGGCATCCAAACAAGTGGAGGTGGGCAGGAAGGCGCCCGGGCAGAGGAACCGAGTGTGTAGGCTTGGGTTTGGCAGCAGCAAGTGTGGTGGGGGCGGGAGCCGGGGCTGCTGGCTGAGGAGGGCTGTGGCTTCCGCTCACTGGGTGCCTCTCTGAGCAGGGACTGCTCACATCCCAGCCACCCCTGCTGTGGCCCTGACTGTGGGAGGGTGGGCCTCGCCATCTGTGACCCGGAATTGGAGTCTTCATGCAGGGTCATGCTTTGCCCCACTGTTTATTATCTGTCGCAGTGTAACAGATCACCCCCAAACCCAGTGTCTGAGGACCGCAGATGTGTCATTTCTTGGTCTCTGGGGCTCAGGGACGTGGGGGCTGCTTCTGCAGGTGCCTGGCTCAGGGTCCCTCCCAGCCTGCAGTCTGGGTGTCCTTGGGCTGCAGTTGCCTCACAGCTTAACCAGGGAGGAGTGCAGGTGCTTGCTGGAAGCATGCGGGGCCTTGCCCCATGGGCTTCCACCTCAGCGTGGCTTCCGCATGGCATTAGATCTCTTCAGACAGTGAGTAGAGGATGACGGGACACCCAAGACAGAAGCCACGGTCTCTCGTCATCCAAGCTTGAACATGACACCCAATGTTCCTTGATGAGAGTCGCCAGGGGAGGGAAAGCCAAGAGGCAGATATCCTGCCCGCCATCCCAGAGCCTGCCTGCTGCAACTGTCTTTGTCCCATTCTCCATTCCTGTGTCCCCTGGACGCTTCATTTCAAACATTTCTTAGCAGGTCCCCTGCCCTTCTGCCACCAGCCAGACCCTGGGTCCTGTTCACCTTCAGAACCCCGGGCTCTGCAATGCCCTCCTTGGCCCTGGCCTGATGGCCTCTATGACAGCCTGACAATGGCCCTCAGTCCCAGTTCCACATGCATGTGTACCCAGCCACCGCCACTTGTCCCTTCAGAAACACCCCCTCTCTGTCTTGCTGCACCTGCCCTGCTGGTCCCCGGCTTGGGCGGAGGCTGCCGCAGGGCGGATTCTCCCAGGCCCAGTTCAGTCCTAGGCTGCTCAGTGCTTCCCATTCTTCACAGCTACCAGCTTCTCCTCCCAGCAGAGGCCCTCAGTCCCTTTCTCCCTGGGCAGGACCTCTGTCCACTGTCCCTGGCTCCCCCGACCCTCAAAATGAAGTTCATGCTCCTTGGCCTGGTGTCCAAGGAGGTTCTGCCTCCCTCAGTCCGTCCGCCCTCCCGGCCTCCAGCTTCTATCTTGCCACCTCTGCCTCCATGCAGTCTGTCCTCCAGCCACGTGGGGCCACCTGGCTGTGCGGCTGGGCCTGGAGGGCATTGTCAGAGCCTTCAGTCTCCAGGTCATGATCAGTCGACACCCCTTCTGCAACGCCTTCCTCTCAGGCTTTGGGAAGGAATTCGCAGGCCTCTGCTCATGTCTCTTAGCCTTGGTGGGCACTGGGCTCACTGGGCTCACCTGGCGCTGCCAGGGGAAACCGTCCCGGGGCTGTTGAGAATCCTGTTTGTTCCTTGGTCATTGTTTCATTTTTGCTTCTGTCTGCAAGCTGGGGTCTGGGCACTCACTCCTCCAGGGCGCACTTCACTTGTTCACTTTTGGATGGGTGGATGAAGGGGTGGAGGGGTGGATGGAGGGGTGGATGGAGGGATAGGGTCCTCTGTGCCCCTTGGGGAAATAATTCAAAAGCAGAGGCTTGGGTGTCAGGTAGAGTCTTTGGAGTTCGGGTTCGAATCTTGGGTTCACTGCTGATTAGTTCTTACACATTAGGTGTTAATATTTCATAGCATTTGGGCAAATCACAGACCTCTATTCCGCCTCAGTTTCCTCAGCTGTGACTCCTGTTACTGGTGTGATGATGAAATAAGATAATGAGACAAAACATAGCGCCTTGAATCAGTGGGCATTTAGTGTTGGATCTTATTATTTTTTGTTAATGTTTTATTTTTGTTGTTGCTGCTGGGGATTGGACCCAGGACCTTGCATATGCTAAGCAGGCACCTGCCACCTAGCTGTACCCCTAGCTGGCTCTAACTGTTGGTAATGGTCTGAGTGGGGGTAGGGAGCTGGGAGCAGAGGCCGTTGGCCCTACAGAGCTTCTTTAAGTCTCCCTTGCCCTCTTGAAAGGGCAGCTGGGGAGGCTGGCTCTGCCTGTCTTGCTGTCCTCCCAGCCTCTCAGAGCTGGGCTGCAGTGGGAGGTGCCCTGTCCCAGGAGGAAAGACTCCAAGTGCCACCGTGGGTGGTGGAGCCACCTTGATCCCTCTGCTCCTGGGAGGCAGTGCTGAGTGCAAGGTGCTGAGGACAGCTGTCCGTCCCGACGCTTGCTCAGGAGCCTCATTCTCTGCCAGCCTCAACCTCGTGGTTTTCCTCGCAGCTGCCTCAGGCTCCAGGGACCAGAGTCCTGCAGTCGTCGTCACCGTCGTAACCATCTCAGCCCTCCTCGTCCTGGGCTCCGTGATGAGTGTACTGGCCATTTGGAGGAGGTAGGTGACCCCTGGCGGGTCGTGTCTCTGTGCACATTAGCATGTGCCCACGGGCACCTGTATCTGCACCTGCTTTGCGCACACGAAGATTAGCACTCACACTGCTGTATAGATAGTGACTGGCCCCCGCCTCCCCCACTGCTTGCTGCTCCTGCGCAGTAACCCTGCAGCTAGCTCAGCTGCTCTGGGATGAAGGGGATTTAGCTCCTTAACTCATTAAATGTCAGGAGGCATCACTAAGGATAGAATCAAGTTCCAGCTGCTCCAGTGTGATTAGGATTCTCCCGAGGCGCTCTGAGGCCCCCAGCCCCTGTCCCTGAGGGGTCTAGAGGCCCTTGAACACAAGCAAAGAGAAGAAAGGCAGAAATTGTGTGCGGTGTGTTTGTGTGTGTGTGTGTGTAGCGGAGGTGGGGAGGAGAAGGAGGAGGACTCATAAGCCAGAAATCTCCCCAACCCCAGGAGAGGGAAGCTTGCAGGAGAGTGGGCAGAGGAAGGGGATGGGGGTGGGAGGATGTAGAGCTTGAGTCAGGCTGAGAGAAGATTCCAGTCCTTTTGCACACAGCAGAGGCCTCACTGGCCTACATCCCTCCTTCTCCACAGGGCCATGCTCTGCTACCTGCAGAGGCCCCAGGTGGTAGCAGGTTGTTGATGAGGGAATGTGCAAGTTGTGGACCCAAAGGCTGGAGTGGGGGAGCAGGGGAGAGATGGGCTGGCCAGGAGCCATGCTGCAGCCTGACTCCGCCTCCTGAGACTGCCTGTGGGCTGAGCATGCACTTGGCACTGGCTGTGTACATGGCCTTGACTGGGGCACTGACAGTGACCAAGCAGGAGAGGGCATTATCCTTCTAGTCTGGGAGCCATTTTTGCCTGGATCAGATGAGTCCAGATGCAGAGAGGAGCAGGCAGCTTAAAGGTTCGTGTGCTGGGCCTGCTGGAGAAGCAGGTGGGCAGCTGCTGAGGGCACCTGTCCTGGTTCTGAACATAGAGGCTCTGGAGGCAGGGGGGACGCGGGGAGCAGGGAGTGTCTCTTCCAGGCAGGGGCTCTGCAACACAGCAGCAGCTGCCCAGCAGAGACACATGCTGCGGGAGGCAGGTGGCCTGCAGTGGCCCTCCAGACTACCCTGCAGTGGGGACAAGCAGCCGGGCCTGGTGTGAGGCAGCTTCCTCCAGCCTCGGAGATGCTCTGCGACAGCTCTCACAGCGTCCTCTCTCTTCCTCTTGTGCTGCCCACTCTGCTCCATGGCCCTGTTGCCTCTATTCCCTCTCTGGTCCACCTGGCTTACCCATCCCTCACGAGAGGGTGTGGCCTGTCTCTTAACCTCTGGTTTCTGTTAACTCTGTACTCCCTGTGGCTCCTGCATCCCCTTTATCTCTGCCCACCTCCCCTGGATGTTCCTCCACTTGCACAAAAGTCACCTGCCCTGGGTGACTTCAGTAGCCACTGGTTGGCCCGACACCCACCTCCTACACTGTGCCTCTCAGTTCTTTGACTCCCTTATTGCCAACAACCTTCTCTTCTGTCCACCAGGCCTCCTGGCCCTCCTCCAAGACTGCTCCCTCCCCAATATGTCCTCCAGCTCTTCTGCTTTGGGCCTGCAGAGCCCACCCAGTCGTGGCTGCTGCCTGCTCTTCAGCCTCATCAGTGGCCCCTCAACTGCCCACCACCTGGTGTGTAAGCCTGCCCCATGCCAGGCCCCGCTCCAGTGAGCTAGAGACTTCCTCCTAGCTAGGATCAGTCCTACCCCTTTTTCCAAGCATCTCTGTAACCTATTATTATTTATAATGCTTGCCTCTCCCCCAGATAGTAATGCACACTTACTGAGGGTTAGTGATTATGTGTATGAGTTAGCTTTCCATTGCTGTGACAAAATATCTGAGATAATCAACTTATAAGGAAGAAAAGTTCATTTTGGTTCTCAACTCCTGTCCCTTGGTTCCCTTGGCCTTTGTGGCTGCAGTGTACAACATGGTGGGGGTGCATAGCAGAGGAAGCCACTCACCTCCTGGTGGCTGGAAGCAGAGAGAGCGACAGGCAGGGGCTAGGGTCCCAGTATCTTCTTAGAGGGCTCCCTTCCTGACTTCTTTCCATTCCATCCCCTCCTGAAGGTTCCCCCACTTCTCAGTAGCCACCCGGGCTGGTGACCAAGCCTTCGTGGGGGTCATTCAGAATCCGAACTATGTCAGTAAGCCTTTGCAATGGTGCCAGCCGGCCTGGCCGTCTTTATCCTAATTTTATTAAAAGGGAAACCTGAGCCACCCAGTCCACAGCTGCTGAGTGGGGGAGTGGCAGCCAGTGCGTGCAGCCAGGTCCAAACCCTGCAAGCGCCCTTCCACGCCCACTGTGCCTCATCTTACCCGGGATCTGATCATTTCTTTTGAAAAGCCCTCCCTCCCTCGCTCCTGCTCTGCTGTCACGGCCCCTCCCCCACTCTCCCAGATCCCTGTGCCGTCTGCGCCCAGTTTCCCTTCTGTTTCCCATCTACTTCTCTGCAGGTCTTTTGTGGCCTCCTTGGAGGCTTCCCTCTCTCCCTCCCAGCCTCCCACTGCTGGGTTTTCTCAGCCTTGCTCCCAGCTCCTCCTGTCAGGCTCCACCCTCTGTGGGCACCTGCTGAACCCCCTGCTCATTTGCCCCCCACCCCCCATGTATCCCGCTGGCTCCTGCTCAAATGTCAAATGGGAAAATTTCATCTCCCCCTCTTGGCGACAGCACCCCTGGAGCTCTGGGCAACTTCTTCGTCTTCCTTTCTGCCATCCAGCCGTCTCCACGCCTTGGGCCCCTCTCGCCTCTGTCCGTTGACACAGTCACCCCATAGCCAGAGCCACTGCCCTCTCCTGAGGGGACTACAGAGCAGCTGGGATGATCTTTGTAAAAAGCAGATTGAATCACAGCACTCCCCTGCTCCAGGCCCAGGGGCTCTTCTCTGCTTCCCGAATAAAAACTAGAGTTATCTGGGCTACCCTGGCCTGCCTCAGGTGCCCCGAATGCCAGCCCGCAGCTCTGTGGATTGCAACTTGGTCCTTGGCTCTTTGGCTGCCGGTCTCAGGAAGCCATCCTTGGTGGCCCTGGACCAGGTCAGGTGGTTTGTGTGGTGTCTTGCCAGGCACAACAGCCTTCTTTGTTTGGGCCTGTGAGCTTGCTGGAGGCCAGGGCTGCCTGTCTTCCCGTCTTATTCACACTGCTGCTCCCCCCC